ACCTTTTTCTATAATAAGCTCACAATAGAAGAGATGATGTATAGATTACAAATAATTGAGATACAATAGATCAAGAAGGGCCAACGAAAACTCAAAAATTTAGGCCCTGTTCACTTCCATTTTCGTTTCCTGTTTTCTGTTTTCATGTGATAAATTTGGCAACTGAAATGAGAAAACTTGTTTACTTTTCATTCTGTTTCCTATTCATTTCCAACTATGAAAACAGAAAGTGGCAACTTCCTGATGTTTTTGGAAACGACAAAATGTTGTTTTCACCTGTTTTCAACATCTGTTTTCTCAAAAACAGGAAACAGAAATGAAAGTAAATAGGCCCTTAGTGAAGACAAATCAAATACAAGTCAACTGAAAATAGTCATCTCGTATTAATGTCATTTTTTCCTCACTTATAATTGCTATTCATTGAATAAAAAGATGTAAGATAAAAACACATATGTACTACTACTATGCTAATCCACATCCATTGATCATTCAATCTTACTTCTTTAACTGCAATGCATCTCTTTCTTCTTCAATCGCCATTGATTTACCTTTAGCCCGTCCAACCAAACAAATAAATTAGAAGTAATCAAACACAATACCTCTTTCAACCTAATAATTTTGACAGAGTATCAATGTGTTTATACAAATTATTAAGCATATCTTTCTACTTTGCAGTTACTACTATGCTAATCCACATCCACATTAATCATTCAAGTTCTCTTCAAACTTCAATGCATATCTTCTTTTTTTTTTTTATAATCGCATTTTACCTGTAGGAATTAGCCCCTCCAACAAAACATATATGTTGGGGGTGTGACTAAGGGACGGAGCGCACAGACTAAGCAGTAGGGCGCATAATCGGCGATGCCCAACGCTCGATACCCGCTACAGGTATATAAGGGCTTGAAGCCCTCCAAAGAGAGGGACTTCTCCTCTCTCTCCTCACTTTCCACTTTCTACTATCTCTCTATACTTTATCTCTCTATCTATTCTCTCAACTCTCCCCACAAACCGACACTAACTTGACCGTCGGAGCTTAATCCGGGGGGCAGCCCCGACTCTTTCACAGGTTCTTTCCCTCCCGACGAGATCAGACGAACGGATCGTGAGTCAACCCCACACCAACAAATATCATTGTTCGATCCGGAGCTAGATGGGTCAAACAATTGGCGCCCACCGTGGGGCATACTTACAGATATTGTTCTTCTGATTTCCGAGGGAGGATCCAATAAAATCCACTTCAGCGGCCACGAGCAAGGGTCGCCGCCAGAATCCTACAAGACCCAGACGAGCGCGCGAAAGAAAGTGCAACAATTTCTATATCCATCTTTTCCTGGGGACTAAGCGAGAAAAGCACCTCCACAATCCACATGTCCATGCTATTTACGATCAACAATTGCAAGGGGAAAGGTGATTGTCGATCACCAAGGGAAAAGCTTAAAAGGAGTGATTTGGGAAAGTTCCAGGAGCTTGTGGAAGGATACGATCTCTCTCTCCATCATACCCTCAACACATCATGGAGTTGGAGTCGAGCTGCAACTAAAGAAGGAGGCAATAAATAGGAAAAAGATTCCGACCGCCGGACACAGATCGGCGCTGGAGCACCGACGAGAAAGAGAAAGAAGTCACAGTCAGTCACTAGCTGTTGTCACGTCGTTACTGCAAATTTGCCGAAAGAATGGGTCACCACTCCGTTCTCCCTGACAAAAGAAAAGACGGGCGAAGTTTTCGAGGCAGATGGGCACAGTTAACGATGAAACCATGAGAAGTAGATGCCAGGCTGGAAACCCAGTAAGGCGGTAGAGAAAAGAGAGCGCGCACCCGCCCGAGCTTCTCCCTGAATGGTGACAGCCGCTCCGCCGTCTCCACTAACGCGCTCTCGCCGCCATCGCCAAAGCCAAGCACCAATCCGTCTGAGGCGCCCAACATCACTCCCCGATGGGACCAGTTCTCTCTTCGACTCATTCTCCGATCAGAAAAATCTCCGGGAATAATCAAACATGGCGCCAGCGTCGGCTACATCGAGCGGTACTCAGCCGCAGCTCTCTTGCTTCTCCTCAATCAACCGAAGCCTCCACCAGGATGCCTTTGCCGCGGCATACAGAAGGGCGTTGCAGATCTCCGCCAGCACAGCCCCCGCATCATTATTCATCGCCCGACGGTTGCCACACCTGCGCGTCGGAAGGAAGGAAATCGGCAGCAAAAAAGGATTTCGGTGGAAAAGTTTCGATCCGCCGCCCAACTTGCAGCGCGTTCGTCCTCCAACCAGTTCCGCTTCAACTCCAATTCGCGGGCCCGCACATCAAGCCCAAGCGGAGGCCCATACGCGCGGATGGACCCGAAACTCGCGTCCCTCGCCCCGCTCCGTTCACGTGCTGCAGCCCCGCCAAGCCCAACAGGCGCTGAGAACATCAAAATAAAATAGTCAGAGCCAGTACTTGAACCCGCGACGTCTCTCTGCCAAACAAACATTTCAGCAAGCAGACTACATACACGCCTCGTTATTTGAAGGCGCAGCGTCAGCATTTTAACTACTCTTGCCGCCCAGGCCCACGATGCATCCGCAATCCAAACTCGCGGAGGGCCCACTTCTTGTTCATCCTTCTTCAACTCCACGCCTCCATGAAAAAAAAAATATGCTTGCGCGGCGATTCGAACTCGCGCAATCACTCCCTCTTACAAGCGCCATCACACCACCATTATGGCAGAAGACCGCATTTGAAATATGTGGCGCATCACTTCTATTTTGAAACCGCTTGCCGCCATCGGCCCAATAAATTCAGTCGCACCAACAAGATGCAACCGGGCCGTTACATACATCCGCCAGCAACTCGGCCCAATTCACTCTGACCCGCCAGAGTGAATCCGAGCATCCACGCGTCCTGACTCTACTCGCGGCCCGCGTCGCACAATCCCCCACCAAGCTCATTTCCGCGAGTAGATCCCGCCATGACCCGCTCCAGTGCAGCCCGGCACGCCGGGCTACCAACCCGCGGCCCAATTCACTCCGACTTGCTTCAACAGAGCCCGCGAGCAACATGGGCCATCATCCAACTCGCGTCCCCGAGCCCACTTCCGACGTACCTTCAAGCTCACCAACAGGCGATCCGTCAGCGCTCCACTCGCGCCAAAAATATTATTGTCGCCGCGAGGACTCGAACCCGCGCCATTGTTCCTCCAGACAAGGGAGGTGACCAGCAGGCTACACATGTGCCTTGTGTTTCAATGGCGCGCGGCCAACTTAAAACCTTCTGCATCCAAGCCCGCATCACCAGCCCGCGACGCGCGCAGGCCCAACTCGCGACACAAGCATCGCAGCGTCTTCCCCCAGCCCGCGACGCGTGCAAGCCCAACTCGCGTCCGGCCCGCATCACCAGCCCGCGACGCGCGCAAGCCCAATTCGCGGCCCAACTCGCGCGTGCATTCAACTGTTCAGCACTCTCCAAAAAATATCATCGCCACGAGGACTCGAACCCGCGCCACTCCTTCGACAGGTAAGCATCCTTACCAGCAGGCCACAAGCACCTTGTGTTTCAACGGTGTGGCGCCTGAATTTTAACATTCGCGCAAAAGGACATGGTTCGAAAGAACAAAAATTAGCAATAGTCCAGCACTATTCGCGCAAAAGGACATGGTTCGAAAGAACAAAAATTAGCAATAGTCCAGCACTATTCGCGCAAAAAGGACATGGTTCGAAAGAACAAAAATTAGCAATAGTCCAGCACTATTCGCGCAAAAGGACATGGTTCGAAAGAACAAAACTTAGCAATAGTCCAGCACTATTCGCGCCCAGTTCGAAAGAACAAAAAAAAAAATCAGCAATAGTCCAGCACTATTCGCGCAAAAAACAAAAGGACATGGTTCGAAAGAACAAAACTTAGCAATAGTCCAGCACTATTCGCGCCCAGTTCGAAAGAACAACCTGCAGGCTACCACTCAGGTTCTGTTTCAATGGCGCAGCGCCTGCCTTTCAACTACTCCTGCCGCCACTGCCAACATAAAGCTAAGTACTCTATCCCTCCATCATTATTAAATGCTTAAAATATTTTTACTATCCTAAGCGTTGATGGCGCTAATGGGGGGCAAGACGCAAAAAGCTGGCACCGCGTCACTCAAACGCGCCACCAGCTGGGGGGCAACTGGGGTACATAGGCCCCACCCAAAATTACCGACAAAGATTTAAAAAATAAAGTATAAGCTAGCGATGAGTTAAAACTCACCACCAGCTTGGGGGGCAATTGTTGGGGGTGTGACTAAGGGACGGAGCGCACAGACTAAGCAGTAGGGCGCATAATCGGCGATGCCCAACGCTCGATACCCGCTACAGGTATATAAGGGCTTGAAGCCCTCCAAAGAGAGGGACTTCTCCTCTCTCTCCTCACTTTCCACTTTCTACTATCTCTCTATACTTTATCTCTCTATCTATTCTCTCAACTCTCCCCACAAACCGACACTAACTTGACCGTCGGAGCTTAATCCGGGGGGCAACCCCGACTCTTTCACAGGTTCTTTCCCTCCCGACGAGATCAGACGAACGGATCGTGAGTCAACCCCACACCAACAAATATCATTGTTCGATCCGGAGCTAGATGGGTCAAACAATATAAATTACAAGTAATCAAACACAATACCACTGCATTATTAATTTTGACATAGTATCAATATGTTTATGTAGATTATTAAACAAATCTTCGTACTTTGAATCGTCAAATCATCTAGTTTTCTAGATACAATTTTGATAATAGAAAAACCCCGTCAAAGCATTAGGAAGAAGAAAAAAAAGAATCTGAAAAAGTCCGACAGCAAAAAATCACGTTCAGCAACCTTTTAAAAAAGAAAAAAAAAAGGTAAAGGGGAAAACTCCACCCTCCTTCCTTCCTTCCTTCCTTCCTCCCATGGTCAGAGCAAGTAAGCTTTGAACATTTCAGATTTCCCTCTCACGAAAACCACCTGCATAAATACCTCACCACCAAAGCAACCAAAACCCAAATCCAAAAACAAACAAAACAACAAACAAAACCCATTTCTCCCCCTTTCAGCCATGGCTGCAGAAGGAAGTAGAATCAGCATCCTCTGTTTTTTCACCACCCTCCTCTGTTTTTCCCTCCAAACTTCCGAAGCTAAAGTCCGGCACTACAAGTGGGAAGTGAAGTACGAGTTCAAGTCTCCCGATTGCTACAGAAAGCTCGTCATCACCATCAACGGCGGCACCCCGGGACCCACAATCATCGCCCAGCAGAACGACACCGTCGTCGTCGACGTCAAGAACAGCCTGGGCACCGAGAACCTGGCCATCCACTGGCACGGAATCCGGCAGATCGGTTCGCCGTGGGCCGACGGGACCGAAGGCGTCACGCAATGTCCCGTTCTTCCCGGTGACACTTTCAGATACAAGTTCGTCGTTGACAGGGTAAGCTAATTTTAAAGTATTGAATTCTTTTTATCTCTTACTCCAACATCATCTTTTTTTAAGAATTTTCGTCTCGAGAGGCTCAATAATGAATCTTATATTTGTACGATCTGCAGCCTGGAACGTACCTGTACCACGCGCATTACGGGATGCAGAGGGAGTCGGGTCTGTACGGGTCGATTCGGGTTTCGGTTCCGACCGGGGAGTCGGAGCCGTTTGCGTACGACTACGACCGGAGCATCATTTTGAACGATTGGTACCATAAGACGCCTTACGAGCAAGCTGCAGGGTTGTCCGCCAAGCCATTCGTCTGGGTCGGAGAGCCTCAGGTACTGAATTCTGATACACATTTTCCGAAGCTTCTTACTGCGTTTCCCATGACCAGATTGTCATCAACCCGAACCCATTCGAAAAATCAAAATTGGTTGAAGTTTCGTAACCTGAAATATGAACTACTAGAACTTGATTGACCAAGATTTTTTTTTTGTTGGATTAAATGGACTAACTGATCGATGTGTTTCACGTCATTTTCACTCTCAAAATCACGAAATCACTCACGAATTGATGAGATGTTTAAAAACATTCATAAGGATTGGAAAAACAAGTTTATAGTGTATGGATACTGAAAAAGCATGTGTATCTTGTAGTGTTATTACTTCTTCTTGTGATATTTTTTCCTATATGTTTCACGCAATTTGTATTTCTTTTCATTAGTACGTGAGAATTTGAGAATATATGAACTAACATGTATTAGGTAAAACTATTAGCAGATATATATTACCCAACCCAACTCAATTTTCATGTCCATTTTGGAGCCATGTTAAAACTTCGCTGACCTTCTTTTTCTTCGCCTTCTTCCTCCTACTTGGTATCGACTATGACAGTATAAGCCGAGCATCGGCGACGGTATGGTTTAGGTGGGCAGCTGCCGACGGCTGGCCAGGGTAATGAATTGTTTGTTCAGGGTTTTGTTAGAAATCGGGATCTGAGGTTAAAAGTGTCAATTTGATGCATTTTAGGGCGACAAAATTTGAATTTTAGGGCGGCAAATAGCGATTCAGTAAAACTATTGTGCACTAGATTTTGACACCATTATTATTTCTATTGATCACATTTGAATCACTAGCTACTATAACCTAATCAGATTCGTTTTCAATTTATTTTTGCAGTCACTATTGATCCACGGGAAAGGAAGGTTCAACTGCTCGACACCAGGACTCGGACTAGAACCCGCCACCTGCAACAACACAAACCCAGAATGCTCCCCGTACACCATGACCGTCGTCCCGGGAAAGACCTACCGGCTTCGAATCGGCAGCCTGACCGCCTTATCGGCGCTCAGTTTCCAGATAGACGGCCACAACATGACCGTCGTCGAGGCCGACGGTCACTACGTCGACCCGTTCGTCGTCCAGACGCTCTACATCTACTCAGGCGAGACATACTCTGTTCTGATCCGAACCGACCAGAACCCGACCCGAAATTACTGGATCGCCACCAACGTCGTCGGCAGAAACCGCACGACTCCGCCGGGAATTGGGGTTCTCAATTACTACCCGAATCACCCGAAACGATCTCCGCCCCCAATTAACCTCCCGAGCGCCCCGATTTGGGACGATCGGAGGCCTAGGGTGGAACAGAGTCGGGCGATCCGGGCCCGACCCGGCCACGTACACGACCCGCCCCGGAGTTCGGATCGGGTTATTGTGACGCTGAACACCCAGAACGAGATCGACGGGTTCCGCCGCTGGTCGGTGAACAACGTCTCCTTCAATCTGCCACACACGCCGTACTTAATCGGGCTGAAGCACAAATTGCTACACACTTTCAGCCAGATTCCGCCTCCGGAAGACTACGACCGGGCGAGATTCGACGTTACGAGCCGGGCCAGGAATTCGAACCCGAACGCGACGGTCGGCGACGGGGTCTACCGGCTGAAATTCGGGTCGACGGTGGATCTGATCTTGCAGAACGGGAACACGATGGTACCGAACAACAGCGAGACCCACCCGTGGCATCTCCACGGGCACGATTTCTGGGTTTTGGGTTACGGGGAAGGGGAGTTCGACCCGAAAAGGGATCCGAAGGGTTACAATCTGGTGGATCCGATTATGAAGAACACGGTGCCGGTTCATCCGTACGGGTGGACGGCGCTGAGGTTCAAGGCGGACAACCCTGGGGTTTGGATGTTTCATTGCCACATCGAGTCCCATTTCTATATGGGGATGGGAGTGGTTTTCGAGGAAGGGATTGAGATGGTCGGGGATTTGCCGGCGGCGATCGGCGGGTGTGGAGAAACTAAAGGCCTCAAGCTCCATGGGAAGCCATAGGACCAATTTATTTTTTTATTTTTTAACTATAGATTCTTTGTTTTCACATGATTTGTTGTACGAAGTAAATATTGATGGTTTGCGTTCTTAGTTCTTACTCTGGATTATAACTTATAAGACCACCATGGTGATTTAATAGTTGTCTTTGTATAGAGGTAAGGAGGAAAAATATAGGTTTAGAGGAGAGTCGGGCAAATTTCTCGGGGTTAACGCGATTTGCTAGGCAGTAGTTAATACTTGGGGTGTCAGTTGGTCGGTTTTGGTTTAACCGAAAATCGAATTCTCGGTTATCGGTTAAACCGAGCGATCACCCCCGGCTACCGACCACTGACCGTGAGAGATACAGTGGTTAGCCGACCACCGACCGATCGATTGGCCGATTTTGGTTCGGTTAGTCCCAAGCCCGAAAACCACACCCTAATCTAAAAAAAAAATTAAAAAAAAAAATCCAAAAACCCTCCCACCACTCATTCTTTATCTTCTCAATCCTTCTCTCTCCTTAAACTTTTTCCATTCAAACCCTCTACCACCACTTACTGATTATCTCCTCCGTCTCTCTCCTCCATCTTTCTATCTCCTTTCTTTTTCCACTCAAGAAGCAGCCGAGAAGGAGGGCTTGCCGCCGACGGGAGAGGGAGGAGCGACCTCGCGAAGCCGGCGGAGGGAGACGGCGTTCGCGCGGCGGCGGTTGGAGACGGCAGGCGGCGCGGCGGGTGGAGGCTGATGCTTGCTTGCATGTCGTGACGGTTGGAGGCGGAGGAGACGGCAGGGTGACGTCGACGATGGTGGAGGCGGCGGTCGTGAGGCGGCGGCGGTCGTGAGTCGGAGGGAGAAGGAGGGCGGCGGTGGTCATCTTCTTCTTCTTTCTTCTTTCTTCTTCTTCTGGGTTTTCATTTTGAGAGGTGAAAGGGAAGAGAAGAGAGAGAGGATGACGGAAGAGAAGAGGGTCGGGACGTCGGGTCACGGGTGAGTGGTGAATACTGAATCGTCTAGGGTTTGGGGGGTCGTTTTGAGGGGGGGGGGTCGTTTTGAGAAGGGGGCCGGGTCGTTTAGGTTAGGCTGGGTAAAGGCTCGGTTAGTCGGCGAACCGCCGGTTTTCAACCTCGGTTGGTCGGCTAGCCGAGCCTTCTCCCATCGCTACCGATGACCGACCGACGCCATTGGGATTGGTTTTTCGGCTAGCCGAAAACCGAACGGTTCGGTTGAAACCGTCCGGTTACCCGCTAACCGTAAAACCGTCCGCCAGCCCTAGTTAATACAGGCTCAAGTTAATACACCCATCAATAACTAAATCTGGATCATTCATTTAAAAAATTCAGATCTAAGGATGGAGAATTAAAAGTCATTTTTATTTTCACTAGCTTTCTTAATTGACTCATATCTTTTTCGTTTTAACTCAGATTTTAATTTTTTTTGCACAGATGGAACGACTTCGTCATGCTCTACTAAATGGGATCAATTTTCAATATTTTTTGAGAAAAAAAATTCTGCCCTCTCGGTACCAACTGCATACCATATGGTATCTTCTTCGTTTTTAATTCATTTTTGAAAACGTTTGCACAGCAGGGACGAGTTCATCATGATCTATTGGATCTACAAATTTCTGGGTGAACAAATTACAAGACCAAAAAATACCACACAATACCATACAATACCACCCTGGTACGGGGTGGTATCTTATGGTATACAATGTTAAAAGTCGTAAATGACAATTAATATACTTCTACTATCATGTATTCAACCATCCTACATTTTTGGTTTGTGTCATACCACCATGGTACGCTTTTCAAACCATAGGTATGCTCTTATTTCAATACCAGTCAATACCATATGGTATAGACTGGTAAAAAATGGCTCAATTTTTTTTGTTCGAAAAATATATCAAAGTGGATATCATTTTGAAGAGCACAATTAATCTGATCTAACTGTGCAAAAAAAAAATTAAATTTCGAGTTAAAACGAGTGAGAAATCGTCTGTCAAAGATTAAGGAGGGGAAAATTACAGGACAGAAAGGATGCTGATGTGAGCGGGTTACTCATAGTTACTCACCATAAGATTACTGACCTGATCCGTTTCCGTTAATACATTTTTAAAATATATGAATCTTCAAAAGATGATATTTCAACTATTTGACATTTGATTAAAAAAAATAGTAGAAAATTCATTTTCCCCCCTACAAACTAATATCCATTTTAATATTTTTTTGTCACTCTTACTATAATGATAATATCGCTAGCTTATATTCCGGCTCGTTGGCCGAATGTAGTTTAGTCAATAATCTATCATGATAATTTTAGTAGTGGCAAGGACAATGTTTAAATTCATATTGGACAACAATTTTCCAACAATTTTGTAATCCCTAGATGTAAGAACTTATCATATAAGTACCAAAGAAATCGTATAATAATCCAAATCAAGTCTTTGGCAGTTACTTGTGTCGTGATTGTTAAGTTAGCAATATGGTAATGAACCGACTGGTTTTAGGCCGTATAGAGGACGAACTTTTATAGACACATACGTCAGTTATACACCCAATAAAAAAGAGGCTACAACTATCGTTAACCTTTAACCAAGGCATATGCATCTACTACATATTATTGAAAAAGTTTTCCCGCTAACAATAATGAATTGGATTCCTCGATACGTGTCTGAAGCCGATAACTATAATAATGATATTGAGTTATATTCCGACAGCAAATCACATACTGCTGAAAGTAACGATGATGATGAGTAAGGACCTTAAATTGAAGGTCCCAACTAATAACAAAAGAAGAAGCGGGATTAGGAAATCGTCCTAGGTTATTTGGGTCGAGTATATACTTACTAATTTGACAATTAACACACATGACAGATACAACCCCAAATTTTGTTGAGTGGAAGTTATGAGGTACAAAACTTCACTAATCGACGAAGAGAAGCAAATTTGGGTACTTTAACCTTCTATTCTCTAAAACACTGTTCTAGAATTGAAATACTGTCAACATAAACGGCAGCAGATAAGAATTGGTTCTTGTATAAAGAAGAGCTAGCCGATTAGGTTGAGAAAAGTTGCCTGTGATAGCTACGCTATTGATACAAAACATTTTTAAAGCTAAAAAGGTTACGATGAGATTAGTGCATGACAAAAGCACAGTTCCCTATTCAGCTCATGATAGGGTGCATCAATAACTAAATCTGAATCTTTCATTCAGAAAATTCAGATCTAAAAATGGAGAATTAAAAATCATTTTTTCCTTATTTTTTTAACGGCTCATACCTTCTTCGTTTTAACTCGGGTTTCAATTTTTTTGCACAGATGGAACGAGTTCGTTGTGTTCTACAAAACGAGATCCATTTTCAATATTTTTTTAGAAAAAAAATCTTGCCTCTCGATGCCAATTGCATACCATATGATATCTTCTTCGTTTTTAAATCGTTTTTGAAAACGTTTGCACAGAAGGAACGAGTTCATCATGATCTTTTGGATCTACAAATTTCTGGGTGAACAAATTACAGGACCAAAAAATACCACACAATACCACAAAATACCACCCTGGTACGGGGTGGTATCTTGTGGTACACAATGTTAAAAGTCGTAAATGACAGTTAATATACTTCTATTACCATGTATACAACCATCCTACAGTTTTGGTTTGTTCATACCACCATGGTACGCTTTTCAAACCATATGTATGCTCTTATTTCAATACCAGTCAAATACCATATGGTATAGACTGGTATTGAAATAAGAGCATACATATGGTATAGACTGGTAAAAAATGACTCAATTTTTTTCCAAAAATATATCAAATTGTATATCATTTTGAAGAGCACAATTAATCTGACCTAACTGTGCAAAAAAAAAAATCGACTTAAAATGAGTGAGAAATCATCCATCAAAGATTAAGGAGAGGAAAATTAAAGGGTTTCCAAGAGAGAGGAAGGTTGATGTCATGCTGATGTGGACGGGTTACTCATGGTTACTCACCTGATCTGTTCCCCCCTATTCATACAAAAAACATGACCCAATGGAGAACCCTAAATCGACTTGCATATGAACTTCCTAGAAATCTCAAACTAGAAGTGAAAAAACCCCCAAATTATGAATCAATCACTATGATGCTTTGTCGGTGTAAGTATCGTGTACGTCGAGAATCGGCCTATGCCTTTAAAGAGATTGAGATAGAGAATTTAGAGGAAAGAGACATTGTTTTCTTAATACGTGTTTATTGATTGCCTTCTTGTTCGAATGGAAAAACAATTACATATATATATATATATATATATATAGCAACTAGCAAGACACAACGCTAAACCTAATGACTAACCCTAAACCAATCCGCCAAGTAGTGGCCGCCAACCCCCTTCTCCTATGCTAGTACTATTCCAACACAATTACTAATACTATAAATATCTCCTAAAATACTACTAATATAATAATAATTACTAACAATAATTAACCCTGCCGGATAAATAAATGCATCACACTATCGTATAGACCTCCATGGCAATCAATTGACCTATGAGCATACAATTTCCCCACAAATCACACACTGGAGCTGGAAAATCAACCTAAATTGTGAATCAATTGTTGTTGTCACCGCAAGCATCGGAAAATCAAATTGAGTCGGATGCTATCTCCGTCGGGAAGGATTGTCTTCTCGTCATCTGACAACAACATCCATTTTTTCCTACAAAATGATATCCATTTTAATATTTTTCATTGTATGCAAAAGTTTTGAATTTTAAATTAAAATGAAGGAGATATGTCTCGATTAGTAAGAATGAGGATTGGAAAAAGTAGGCTTTCACAATTTAAAAGTTTTATCTCTCTCTTTTAAATTTTGTGTCAATCAATGTAAAAAAACTCACGGGTGCGAAAATTATCAGTTCGCCCCTTCTTGTCCCTATATGAGTTTTGATGCATCTAAATAAAACTAATTAATGGTTCAAGATTTGAGTTCTGTAAGATTTTGTATCCTATCCGCTTCCATAATTTAAAAACTGGATATTTTGTGTTTGGCTAATACTATGGTGCCTTGGTTAAAAATGCGACACCTATACCACTATTTTTAATTGGTCCACATGAGCAGTGATGTGACACTGTTGAGTCGATTAATTAAATTGACATGAATTAATTGTTACGTCTTTTTTAGCAATCATTTTTACACTAATTGACTATGCAATAGAATCACAACAACACATGGTTATGATAGGTTATTCATCAAAGAATGACATATGTCTAAGGTTAGCCAAATTAATTTTTATATTATTTAAAATTATCTTTGGCAATTTGACACCTTTAAGAAATAGTTTTCGTTGAGAATTATTCAAACAACTGAACAGTGCTCTAATTCTATCGTAACATATTCAATGTAAGTACATATATTTATATTAGCATGATTATATACATTTATAATTTAATGTGTGTTTATGCGACAACTGATTCAGAGAAAAATAGAGTTGTTTTATATTATCTAAAGGTGTGGTTGATTCTACTCAATTCCTATTTGAAGCATAAGTAAGCTTTCCGATGGAATGAACAAAGTGGAGGAGTTAGGTTGGAAGCAGGAGTGGGTATATAGCACCCTCCCACACACACACAA